GCCCATGAACTCTAACCCTTACAGGCTAATGTGTGTAAGCACCCCAAGGTGCGCTTACCGGGAAGAGTCTAGCCTCCGTCCATCCTGGTGTCTCTGCTCCAGAGAGCAGAGCAGTTGGGTCTCTCCGGAAGCAGAGCAGAGTCTGACCTCACTTCCTCTTCTGCCCAGAATTCTATTCTGTTTCCTCCTCCCCCCTATGTTCTAAGCTATGAGGCCAAGCAGTTGGTTTATTATAATTAATCAATTACCTTCCCCCATCATTTCCCCTTTTTCTGTTTAAACAAAAAAAAAGGAAGGCTTTAACTTAACATAGCAAAATTACATATAACAAAACAGTTATCAAATAAAAATTACAATTACAATAATCTATATCATAACTAAGGAAAACTATAACTATAACTAACTATTCTTCAACTCCTTCAAAGATTCCAGAAAGATACAATATTACCTAAGCAAACAAGAAATCCAAAGCTCTAGAAATGACAGAGACATCTCGCTGCCTGTACAGTCACCCAAAGGTGCGCTTACCGGGAAGATTCTAGCCTCCGTCCATCTTGGGTCAGAGCTGCCTGGGAGAGCGGAGCCTGGCGTCTCTGCTCCAGAGAGCAGAGCTGTCAAGTCTCTCCGGGAGCAGAGCAGAGTCTGAGCTCACTTCCTCTTCCTCCCAGCATCCTATTCTGTTTACTCCTCCCACCTATGTTTTAACCTATCAGGGCCAAGGAGTTTCTTTATTGCTTAACCAATGAAATAAACAGATTGATATCTGACACTCTCACATCACTTCCCCTTTTTCTGTTTAAACAAAAAAAGAAGGCTTTAACTTTAATGGAGCAAAATTACATATAACAAAACAGTTATCAATAAAAATTACAATAATCTATATCACAACTAAGGAAAACTATAACTATAACTAACTATTCTTAACTCCATCAAAGACTCCAGAAAGATACAATATTACCTAAGCAAACAAGAAAAAAGCAACTTTCAAACTCTAGAAATGACAGAGACATCTTGCTGCCTGGACAGTCACCCAAAGTTCCTCTGTACCGTTGGGGCATCCATCTTCGGCCTACAGGCCCATAGTTCCCAGCAGACATTTCCACAAAGCAGGAAATTTCAAAGGCAGTCACTATCTGTTTTTCCTGAAGAATGTCTTGCAGACTCTTTCATAAATCAGGAACCCCGAAAGATCATCTCACCTTTAGGCAAGTTCAGCAGTTCATAGAAGAGAAAGTGGAAAGTACACTTGAACACATTGGCACAGGAGACTACTTCCTAAGTATAACCTCAATAGCTTAGATACTGAGAGAAACAATTAATAAATGGGACCTCCTGAAACTGAGAAAATTCTGTAAAGCAAAAGACACAGTCAACAAGACAAAATGGCAGCCTAAAAAATGGGAAAAGATCTTCTCCAACCCCATATTGGACAGCGGGCTGATCTCCAAAATATACAAAGAACTTAAGAAATTGGTCATCAAAAGAACAAATAATCCAATTAAAAAATAGGGTATAGACCTAAACAGAGAATTTTCAACAGAGAAATCTAAAATGGCTGAAAGACCCTTAAGAAAATGCTCAATATCCTTAGCCATCAGAGAAATGCAAATCAAAACAACTTTGAGGTTCCATCTTACACCTGTAAGAATGGCCAACATCAAAAACACTGATGACAACTTATGCTGGAGAGGTTATGGGGTAAAGGGAACACTCCTCCATTGCTGGTGGGTGTGCAAACTGGTACAGCCGCCTTTGGATATCAGTATGGCTATTTCTCAAAAAATTAGAAAATAACCTTCCTCAAGAGCCAGCAATACCACTTTTGGATATATACTCAAAGGATGTTCAACCATACTATATGGACATATGCTCAACTATGTTCATAGCAGCATTGTTTGTCATATCCAGAACCTGGAAACAATCTAAATGTCCTTTGATGGAGGAATGGGTAAGGAAAACATACATTTACATTTTGGAGTACTACACAGCAGAAAAAGATAATGATATCTTGACATTTGCGGACAAATGGATGGAGCTAGAAAACATCATACTGAGTAAGGTAACCCAGACCCAGAAAGACAAATATCATATTACTCACTCTTAAATGGCTTTTAGACATAAAACAAAACAAAACAAACAAAAACAGAAAAACTAACCTACAAGTCACAATCCCAGAGAACCTAGGCAACAAAGAATACCTTAAAAGAGAAATACATGGATCTAATCTACATGGGACGTAGAAAAAGACAAGATCTCTTGAGTAAATTGGGAGCATGGTTACTATGGGAGAAGGCAGAAAGGGGGGAGAGAAGAAGGGAGGGGAGCAGAGAAAAATATATAGCTCAATTAGAAAATGTATCTTAATTATGTTATAATAAAAAATAATAATTGTAAGTTAAGAGAAATACAATGGAGACTCTCTTCTCCATTATACCCAGCATCAAGCCCCTGCCTCCTGCATCATAGTTATCCAACTCCTGTGCTTTCCTGTCTCTTTGGGATTTTCAGTATTGTTTTAAAGAATTTTATTTTTATTTTATGTGTATATGTGTTTTGTCTGCTTGCATACCACTCACATGTCTGGTGCCTGTGGAAGCCTCTGCAACTGGAGTTAGAGACAGTTGTGACCTGCCACATTAGGGCTAGGAATCAACCCAAACCCTCTGGGAGATCAAACAGTGCTCTAAACATCTGAGCCTTCTCTCCAGCCTCATTGGGATCTATTTTTATGAACTTATTTGTGGTGTTTTTGAAAGATTCAATTATCTGTTTCATTCTTATTTTTATTGCTTTATGTAGAAGGATAATTTTGATCTCTGATACTCTGTCTTGATGAAAAGTGAAAACTGTGCCTTTTAATTGTACTCAATTGTGATTTTTTACACCTCCCCCCAGTATAAAGTTTCATCAGTCTTGAACTCAATGGTTTTTGTTGTTGATATTTCTTAGAAAAGCATCTGTACTTAAAAGCTTATAAAAATATTTGTTAATATTTTTCCAAAGATCTTGTCCTTTTTATTCAAACACAGTCACCTTTTTTTTCCGTTTATTTATTTATTAAAGATTTCTGTCTCTTCCCCGCCACCGCCTCCCATTTCCCTCCCCCTCCCCCAATCAAGTCCCCCTCCCTCATTAGCCCAAAGAGCAATCAGGGTTCCCTGCCCTGTGGGAAGTCCAAGGAATACCCACCTCCATCCAGCTGTAGTAAGGTGAGCATCCAAACTTCCTAAGCTCCCACAAAGCCAGTACGTGCAGTAGGATCAAAAACCCATTGCCATTGTTCTTGAGGTCTCAGTAGTCCTCATTGTTCACTATATTCAGTGAATCCTGTTTTATCTTAGGCTTTTTCAGACCCAGGCCAGCTGGCCTTGGTGAGTTCCCAATAGAACATTCCCATTGTCTCAGTGTGTGGGTGCACCCCTCATGGTCCTGAGTTCCATGCTCGTGCTCACTCTCCTTCTGCTCCTGATTTGGACCTTGAGATTTCTGTCTGGTGCTCCAATGTGGGTCTCTGTCTCTGTCTCCTTTCATTGCATCAGGAGGATGCCTATATGTTTTTCTTTGGGTTCTCCTTATTTAGCTTCTCTAGGATCACTAATTATAGGCTTAATGTCCTTTGTTTATGGCTAGAAAACAAATATGAGTGAGTACATCCCATGTTCCTCTTTTTGGGTCTGGCTTACCTCACTCAGGATAGTGTTTTCTATTTCCATCCATTTGCCTGCAAACTTCAAGAAGTCCTTGTTTTTTACTGCTGAGTAGTACTCTAATATGTATATATTCCATACTTTCTTCATCCATTCTTCAATTGAAGGGCATCTAGGTTGTTTCCAGGTTCTGGCTATTACAAACAATGCTGCTATGAACATAGTAGAGCATATACTTTTGTTGTATGATAAGGCCTCTCTTGGGTATATTCCCAAGAGTGGTATTGCTGGGTCCATGGGTAGGTTGATCCCGAATTTCCTGAGAAACCTCCACACTGCTTTCCAGAGTGGTTGCACAAGTTTGCATTCCCACCAGCAATGGATGAGTGTACCCCTTTCTCCACAACCTCTCCAGCAAAGGCTATCATTGGTGTTTTTGAGTTTAGCCATTCTGACAGGTGTAAGATGGTATCTTAAAGTTGTCTTGATTTGCATTTCCCTGATCGCTAAGGAAGTTGAGCATGACCTTAAGTGTCTTTTGGCCATTTGAACTTCTTCTGTTGAGAATTCTCTGTTCAGCTCAGTGCCCCATTTTATAATTGGGTTGATTAGCCTTTTACGGTCTAGTTTCTTGAGTTCTTTATATATTTTGGAGATCAGACCTTTGTCAGTTGCAGGGTTGGTGAAGATCTTCTCCCAGTCAGTGGGTTGCCTTTGTGTCTTAGTGACAGTGTCCTTTGCTTTACAGAAGCTTCTCAGTCTCAAGAGGTCCCATTTGTTCAATGATGCTCTTAATGTATGTGCTGCTGGGGTTATACAAAGGAAGTAGTCTCCTGTGCCCTGTGGAAAGTCCAAGGTCCTCCCCCCTTCACCCAGGTCTAGGAAGGTGAACATCCAAACAGCCTAGGCTCCCACAAAGCCAGAAAATGAAGTAGGATCAAAACCCCATGCCATTGTCCTTGGCTTCTCATCAGCCCTCATTGTTTGCCATGTTCAGAGAGTCCAGTTTTATATTAATTATTGTTTAAACAATATATTTGAAATCTAGTTATCAGGTGGAACATTTTCAGAGACTCTGCTTCTGTTTGACTACAAGAGCAGAGATGCAGGTAGCCACTCATACAGCATCACAGCATCTCTTCCCAAGTCCAGCCCAGAGTAGTAGAGAAAATCCTGTCCATAGAAAATTGAACAGAAAATGCATGCAGCAATCATTAATAGCTTAAAACCCATTTCTTACCACTCATTAAAGTCATAAATAGGAAAACATTGTTCAAAAGCTTTTATAATTTTATTGTGTATTAACATGGTATCAACTACTTTCTAATTATTCTTTGTTCTTGAATATTTTAGAAAGTTACTGTTCAAGTCACATACATCATAATGCGGAATTCTTCATCAGTACCACCAAAAGATGAAGGTAAGACAAGCCATGCTGCAGAAGATGCCACTGTACACATTATAATAGAGCAATTTCAGTTGATATATTTATGTCTCCACTCTCTAGTCATGAGGTGACATATTTCCTAGAATTAAAATCAAAACCTCCAATTTCATATAAATGTTCATTTCCTTTGGTAAATTAATCTAGTGACTATGGATTCCCAGGTTACCAGGACATGATAAGTATCTGTCTCCTTTCCTAAGCTGAAAGCCAACTCATTCCATGCAGAACTGAGAGGCCAACCCACCACTGCCAGTTAGCTGGAGGTAATAGATGTCACTGGGATTAAGGGTATGACTTCACTGGCAGAATGACCCAGGTATCTTAATAAGTGTGGCATTCATGCCTCATACATATTTATATTCATACACACACAAAGGCATACATATGTAGAGAGATGATGTTTACTTATATAATTACCCGTTTTGTCTCATACCATTCAAAATGAAGTCTATGATAAAAATTAATTTTCCTTCATGAAACCTATAAAATATATATATATATATACCATAATTTTAAAATTACTTCTTTTATTTTGAGATTATAAAACACTTAAATCATTTTCCCCTTTCCTTTCTTTCCTCCAAAGTCTTCCATATACCCCTTCTTGATATCTTTTAAATTCATGGCCTCTTTTTTCATTAATTATATCCATTTATATATATGTTCCAAAATATAACCTCTGTCTGTATAATATTTATATGTGCAAATTGAGGGCTGACCATTTGGTATTGGATAAATGATCTGCTTTTTCATGTGGAAGACTTTTCTCCCACTTTGGCTTGTCTATGGCTTTTAGAGTTTTTTTGTTGGTTGTTTTTTTTGTTTTGGTTTTAGTTGTGGTTTTGGTTTTTGGTTTTTCAAGACTGGGTTTCTCTTGTAGGTTTGGACCTTGTCTCGGAACTACCTCTTATAGACCAGGCTGGCCTCGAACTCACAGAGATCTGCCTGCCTCTTATTTCTGAATGCTGGGATTAAAGGTGTGCACCACTGCCGTGCTGCTACTCTTGTCCCTGTTTAGCTCATGTTTGCATGGTCATGCTGGTGAGACTTTATGGGTGTAGCTTCTGACAATTACTAGAAGACACAGTCTCAGTAAACTCCCTTATACTTTGGTTCTTACATCTTTCCACACCCTCTCCTTGTACTAATGTTCTACAATCCTTCCACAGTGTTTCTTGTACTTTAGGTGTAGGAATGTTTTGTAGATGTATCCATTGGAACTGGGCACCACAGCTCTTGCATTTTGATTGACTGTAGTTTTCTGTAGTAGGCTTTGATAGCTAAAGTTTCCTTGATGAGAAGTGAAGACTACACTTATCTTTGACTGTACTTATCTAAGACTAATGCTTAGATGGTTGTTAGGGATTATACTGGTTTAGTAAATTAGTGGGTGTAGGTTCTTTTCCAATATCTGTGGTTCACTAGCACTGTATAGTTGTCTAGGTTTCCAGGAACAGGCATGGTTTCCCCCCTGTTGAGCAGGTCTTACGTTCAATTCAAGAGCTATTGGTTACTGCCAAGGTATGAATGTCACTGCTGCACCCATAAGGTTATTGTGACATGCTGGCCCTTGATGTGGTTCATAAGTGTCATAGCTGTATAGGACTGTTGGTTTTCCCTCTGGGAACTTCCCTGGTACTATCTGATACCATGAAAATAGTCCTCAGGGAAGAGTCATTCCGGTCATTTTCAACTCAGAGGTCTCTGGGCCCTGTTTCTGAAGTACATGGTGTCTGCAGCAGTCAGGAATTACTTTCTACCTCTAGGGGTAGCAACCAAAGACAATAACAATAGGCCGTGTATTTAAGGAATCTCTTGGACAGTCCTAGCTAAGAACTCAAAAATAAGTTCATCTCATGTATGGTCTTAGGTTTTTGTTAGGTTTTCTTTGGCTTTTGGAGGAAACATTTTCAGTACAGATGAATAAAGTTCATTAAAACTTCATAGGTATATTTATAGAAATAATTACATGTATTATAGTTCTTTAAGTAAGTAGTTAGTAGTATGATTCCTTTTGACTTATATGATTCCTTATTCCCCAGACATCTTTGTTTTTCTGAGTCTGTTAAGATGATCATGTGATTTGTGGCTTTAAGTACATTTATTTATTTTATTATATTTATAAATTTGTATATGTTGAAACATCCCTGCATTTCATGGCTAAAACCAACTTAGTCATGGTGTATAATCTTTTTTATATATGTTTGTAAGTATTTTATTGAGCAGTTTTGAGTCTATGTAATGGTATGAAAATACCATTGACATTTGCATTTTCATTTTTGTTTGTCTTGCCTGTTTTTTTTTTGTTTTGTTTTTTTGCTTTGCTGTAGGTCTTCCTTGAAAGTCTGGTAGAATTCTGCTGTGAATCTATCTAGTCCTGGTCTTAGTTTGTAAGTATTTTATTGAGCAGTTTTGAGTCTATGTAATGGTATGAAAATACCATTGACATTGGCATTTTCATTTTTGTTTGTCTTTGCCTGTTTTTTTGTTTTTTGCTTTGCTGTAGGTCTTCCTTGAAAGTCTGGTAGAATTCTGCTGTGAATCTATCTAGTCCTGGTCTTAGTTTGTAAGTATTTTATTGAGCAGTTTTGAGTCTATGTAATGGTATGAAAATACCATTGACATTGGCATTTTCATTTTTGTTTGTCTTTGCCTGTTTTTTTGTTTTTTGCTTTGCTGTAGGTCTTCCTTGAAAGTCTGGTAGAATTCTGCTGTGAATCTATCTAGTCCTGGTCTTACTAAAGCTAGAAAGCTTTTTACTACAACTTTAATCTCCTCACTTGGTATGGGTATGTTTAGGTTGTTAACTTCTTGGTTTAATTTTGGTGGTTTTGCAGAATCTATAAGTTCATGTATTTCTTTTAGATTTTTCAGAGTATAGGTTTTTAAAGCATTCCCTTATGATATTCAGAATATCTTTGGTGATTGTTATAATGTTTCCCTGTTCATTTCTGGTCCTGTCTCTTTCTTTTGCTTAGTTTGTTTATTGTCACAAAGAACCAGATCTGAGAATTATTGCTTCTTTGTATTATTTTCTTTGTTTCTATTTCATTAATTTCTGTTCTGATTTTTAATATATTTTGCTGTCCACTGAGTTTTGATTTGGTTTGTTTTTTTTTTTCAAATTTTTGAGTTGCACCATCAAACCATTTTTTTGTGATTTTTTCTGTGTGTTGTTTTGTTTGTTTTTAAATGTAGGCACTATAAATTTTCCTCATAGGACTGCTTTCAGTGGTTTTGAGTACTGTGTTTTCGTTTCATTTAGTTTCAGGAAGCTTTTTATTTCTTTCTTGATTTCTTTGCCCCATTCATCATTCAGTAATGAACTGTTTAATCTCTATGAGTTTATATATTTGCTCGAGATGTGTTTGTAAGCACCTCAGGCAAGAAGGTAGCCAGGCCCTGCAACTGAGGACCTTCAACTACCAGGGTCTGCCTACAAAACCCTATAATGGCCATAATGGCCAGACCCAGCCCCTTAAGACTCAGACAAACAAGCTCTACCCTACAGAGTAAAAAGGTCAAGATCAGATCACAAAGCCCATCAGTTCCTAAGCTCAGCCACCCTGGAAACTCTGGCTCTGAGAAACTCTATATAAAACCTGCCTTCTGCTCAGCTCTTTGCTGCTTTTTGCCCTAGCAGAGTCAGTTACCATATTGTGTCTTTTCCAAAAATATCTTATGTCAAGTTCATTGCTCAGCATGACTTTGGGGTACTCCTCGGCTCCTGACTGCCAGCATGCCTTTGCCCTCAGAGATGTAGCACTTACATTGGTGTTGTGACTCAGATAGGTTCTCCTGGTGCTTGTGCTCCCCCTCAGGGTGTAAACCACACTAGGGTCTTATCCTTCATCTTTAGTCCACCCACAACAGACTCGCATGCTGATGTACTGATTGACACTCTACCCACCAGCAGCAATTTGGTAAGTTTCCCCTTTGGTCATTGTAAATGCTTCTCTGAGTCTGCAACTCTCTGGAACTCTTAGAGTCAGAGGTACCCCCAGCCATGATCTTTAAGGCTGTGGCTGACCCTCTTCATCTGATCCCATTACCCCATCCTTAGAACCGTGCAGTTTCCTTAGGCCCAGTTGGACTGTTGCACCCCTTTCCTGCTCTCTTCTCCTACCTTCCCTTCGAAGCTGCCATAATCCCACAGCTTCTGTAGGCCCTTGGCTTTTGTGACTCTATTCTCCAACTCTTTCTCATGGTTGAGCTCATTACAGACCTCAGTTTTTCATCACCTTATGACATGTCTTCAGACCTCATTGAAAGCCCTGGTTCTAAGTGCTGAGTCACTACATCAGGCTATTAGACTGTTGTTTTATGCTGTTCCACTTCAATTAAAAGCTGGCTCTGAAGGTGGGTGTGCTTCCCCATTCTCTAGACCCAAGCATGCTTGTTAAAAGGTTTCCTCTGAAATGTCTGTCCCGTATCAGGCAAGCCACCTGACTTTGTTACAGAGAAAGGAAAGACAAACAAAATAAGGGGCAGACTATTACCAGTGGGGACCATTGCTACACATCTCATGCTCTCTTGGTTTTAGTCCAACTCTCTAAAACTTTTGCTAAGGTATATGTTATCTCAAGATTTGTAAGACTATTGTGTAAATTATCTGTATCTCAAGATTTGTAGACATTTTGGGTATGATTAAAAATCTGTAAAATTTGTAACAAAAGGGTTAACTTAAAACTTATCACACCAGGGTTGATAGTTAAAAATCTATACATAAGTGATCTTAAAGGAAACATGTGGCTTGCCACCATTTTTGGTGTTGTTTACCCCCCCCCCCAATCTGGATAGAGATAGCCACGTTGCTGATAGCCATCTCTGCTACAGATGGAAAAGATGGATTTTTTGCCATGTGACTTCACTCCCTTCTTGATTAAAAGTAACCACATAGTATAAACCAGGAAGAAAAATCCTTGTAGCTATGAAGCCCAAACCAAATGATTCCACCACTATTATCAATCACT